TTTTTTCTGATTGTTCTTCTAGCATACTAGTATTGAGAGATTTCTCTTCATCCTTACTAACTCGGACTTGCATGGCTCTTATTTTACTCCTTTGCTCTTTCAATGTATTGTCCATTTTTGAAGTCTTATAATTAATCTGGATTTCTATTTGCATTTACTTTGTCTGGTTGTTCTTGTGATGTTTTCCTGAATACTTCTAATCCCCACCCCACCCCCATGTTCTACGTGCTTTCCTCGATCTTTCTCTCAATCCTTTGAAGGCACCTAAATGTCATTCTTTTGAATTCTTTTTCAGTCAGTTCCATTACATTTTCTTCCTTGGAAACATTTCCTGGCTCTGAATCTTGGTCATTTGCTTGAGTCACTCTTTCATTTCTTCGTATGAGCTAAAATGGTCTGTTTATCTCCTCGGCATTGTGGGGTTGTTGTATTTGTATTTAATTTATGATTTATGTTGATGTGTTCTTAAGCTCTCACCAACTGTCTCCTGTGGGTGTAGTTAAAGAATGGAAGTGTATATACTATTGTTTGCCATTGGTGCACCTCAGTTTAGGGTGGGTTTGGCTGGTGTTGATTACTGTCTATCATTGATCAAGTGGTATAGGATCTGGTATTGGCTTTTGCCAAGTGGGTGGAGCTACAGAGGGGACGGTTTTTGCAGGGCTGTTTGGGCATGGTTGCTGTCTCCTGTTGGGTGGAAAAGAGAAAATTCCCTCTTACCCCCATCCAAGAAAACAGAACATAATAAATAAGCAAGGAACCCACAATGAAAAGAGAAAGAGGGAAAACAATACAGGCAGCAACCAGAAAAAAAAAAAAAAAGACTATAGTAAGTATAAAGAGAAAAATAAGGCAGGAAGTAAAAGGAAGAAATAGAAAAAGTTAGAAAAACCAGGGAGAGGGAAGATGAAAAGAGAAAGAGCGTAATATAGAAAGATCAAAAAGGGGGAAAAAACAGAGAAAAGGGGAAATGAGAAACATGACTAAAAGGAAAAACAAAAGCAGAGATAGAAAGGATAAAACTCAACGGAATGGAAAGAGAACTAGAAGGAGAAAGAATAAACAAATAAAAACAATGAAACAAAAAACCCCAAACCAGATAAGAAAACAAAACAAAAATGTTCAACTGTTTGACCCAGAGAGGAGAAAATTCTGGGGGACTTCTGCAAGCCAGGGAGCTCAAAAGGTGTGTGTGGAAATGATGTGTGAGCAGAGTCCCTGACCCTAGATGGAGTTCCTATTGACCTCAGTGTTATCTATGTACAGGGCACTCAATCCAGAAGTAGCTAGTGAAGGCCTTTGATGGACCTGGTTTTAGTTAATGTCTATCCTGTGGCTCTGCAGGTTCTGTAGGTCTGGAGCAGAGCCCACCTTAACCCAAGCACCAAAGCTGTGCATGCAGCTGGACCCTGCCTCACAGTGGCATGGCTCCCAACAACATAGCTCTGAGCTCCAGGAAAACAGCATCTGTGCTGGGGATGAGTGATGGCAGGAGCTGACCACTCCCCTGGTCATCAGGGACCATGGAAGAAAGGGAGTCATACCTTTCCTGTCTGCTGTGTGAATCTGCTCTGCCAGGCCACCTTCTGTTGCCAAAGCTGCTCACAAGATGGTTGTGATGTGCCTGGATGGCCGTTCACCAGTCAGTCTCACGCTCTCATTGTCCCTGTTCAGCTTCTCCTCCCAGCAAGCACATAGTCCACTTCCCTAATCTGTCCTCTGAAGTTCAGAATTCCTGAATTTTCATTTATATCTGGTTCATTTGGTCTCTGGTGTCTTTATCGTAGAGGGTCCAGGTAGTGTGTCTGCCTAGTCTGCCATCTTGTTGGAAGTCTCTCAGCCATAGTATTTTCAATCACATATGAAACTTGGATAATGAATAAGGAAAACCGTATAAGAATGGATGCATTTGAATTATGGTGTTGGCGATGAACACTGAAAGTACCATGGACTGCCAGAAGAACAAAGAAATCTGTCTTTGAGGAAGTATAGCCAGAATGCTCCTTAGAATTGAGAATTGCAAGACTACATCTCTCGTACTTTGGACATGGGACACGAGGGACACATGTCCCTGTAAAAGGACATCATACTTAGTAAAATGGAGGTGTGGAAAAAAAGTGGAAGACCCCCTCCCCAATGAAATGGATTATCACAATGGCAGCCACAATGGGCTCCGACATGGTAATTGTGAGGATGGCGAAGGACCAGGCAGTGTTTCCTTCTGTTGTGCATAAGGAGCTTATGAGTGGTAATAGTGGCCCCTAATAACAACAATAAAATACCAAGAGAGATCCTTGAAAATCCTAGGTGCATTACCAATCATGTCCCACATTCAAAGGCGCTTTTGTTCCCCTTGCCACATTTGGGGGAAAAATGATACAATATTCTTTTTTCAAGAGAGCTGTAGAATCCTGAAAAGAAATGTTTTTATATGTACCATTCCCATCCATAAGGTGGAATATTACTACCTGTATCTTCATCGACTGTCAAATAAACAGATTGTGCCTGTGCTTAAGAACATATCTAGTTTCAATGACATATACAATTAAATACATTGAATAAATATAAGGAATGTTAAAAAATTAACAGTGGTATTTAAAGCGACTGATTGTTCACTAGGGATAGTAGCAGTCAGAGTGTTGGTTGAGACTGGCAAAGTAAAATGTTGTATTTATGGAATGCTTTGATGCTGAGAGTTGAGTAGCATCCGGAAGGCCAGAAGTCATTATGTAAGAGAAGACCAGGAAGACTCCATAGGCTTAGACAGTCAAGGATCTAAACTCATGAAGATCAGCTGAGATGACCAAGGGCAAGCAGAAACCAGGAACTTAGGCTGTGAGGAAAAGGTAGATTTGGGCAGAGAGTTTGGGCAATATGTTGAAGGAGCTCTGGTAGCGTAGTGGTTACGAATCGGGCTGTGGGGGTTGGGATTCCCAGTATTTGGGATCCAGTGGGTGGCAGTGGGAGGAAGGGGAGTAGAGAGGAAGGCAGAAGTGTTCGAAAGGCTCCCCCTTCTCATGTGTGGTTTGCGGAGTGCATTGTTTAGGTGCTGGGCATGAACCCACGCACATTTTTCCTACAGTTGGGGTTCGAAGATTGGTGTATGTTCAGGTCCGAAGTGTGGGTCTGAGTTTGTACTGTGCATTTCCTGGTAGGCACTGTGTTCTCTGCTTGGCTTTCATTTCCCATTACTACTTCTCTCTGACTCACTGATGGCCTGCCACATGTCATTAGGCAGCTCAACTGCCGCTTTCATTTCTCCCAGAGGTATACAGAGGTTCGCATTTGGGCTTTTACAGTTTTTTCTCCTGAGAGCTGGAGGAAGTGGCCTTTGGGTAGTTTCTCTGGTTGAGTTGAATACTTACAGTATCTTACAGTTTCAATTTTCCTTCCACATAGGTATTTGATCCTGAAGACCTTTATTTGGGGCTCAATTTCTCCAAGGTTCTGAGTACTCTTTTAGCTGTCAACAAAGCAACAGAAGGTAAGCAAAGGCTTGTGATTTATGAGTTCTGGGGTGACATTATTGGAGCCGTGTGTTTCTGATTACTCTAGGAACTAACCATGGCCAAGATTGCTTAATTGGCACAAAAGATCCCCTGCCCTGTCCATAAACACCAAAGAATACCAAACGCTTTATTTATTTATTTTTATGGCTTCTTGTTGTTAAGTGCCATCGAGTTGGTTTCAGAGGCTATACATCTTTGTGGGAGCAGAAAGCCTCATCTTTTTCTCATGAAGCTGCTTGTGGGCTCGAACTGCTGAGCTTGTGGCTTGCAGTCCAGTGCTTATCATACAGAGCTGCCTCATTCTCTTTTCATGGCTTAAGATTTAAATACACCTACCACAGATGTTGGAAGGAAGCCTGGTAGTGTAGAGGATTACGAGCTGGGCTGCTAACTGCAAGGTCAGCCGTCCGAATCAACCAGTCATTCCATGGGATAAAAATGAGACTTTCTGCTCCTGTAAAGATTTGCAAGCTCAGAAACCCTATACAGGGTCGCTATAAGCCATAATTGACTTGATGGCACACAACTACCACCACCACCACAAACATTTTAGAGTCCTGGTGTGGTGCTGTAGGATAAGCCATGGACTGCTAAGCACAAGTTTAGCAGCTCAAACCCACCAGCCACTCTTCAGAAACCCTATGCAGGGTTGCTATGAAACTTGATATCACTTAATAACAACAGATTTGGAAACCCAGCGTGTGTGTGTGGGGGGCGGGGAGCGGACAGTTCTACTCTGTCATTTAGGGTTGCTATGAGTTGCAATGGACTCAAAAGCAAGGGGATTACCACAGATGTCATTCTATTGCCCTTTATACAATGATAAGAACAAAGAAAATATTTCATTCAAAGCTATTGACTAACCAAATGATTCTAACAGGACAGAAAATATAAAGGAAAAGACCAATTCCCCTTTTCGTAAAGTTTACAAAATGCAGCCGCTACTTCCCCTTCCCCACTAGAGATAACATACTTTTCTTATCGTTTTCCATATGTCTCTGTACATGTAAGGATCCCTGGTGGCACAGTAGTTAAGCACTTGGCTTCTCACTGAAAGGTCGGTGGTTTGAACTCACCATCTGCTCTTCGGGCAGGTTACTTCTGTAAAGATTTGTTGTTGTGTGCCATCGAGTCGGTTCTCATAATGACCCTATATAGGGCTTCCCAGGAGTGACTGGTGGGTTTGAACCTCCAAACTTGTGGTTAGCAGCCTAGTGCTTATCCTACAGCACCACACCAGGACTCAAAGTCCTGTAAAGATTTACAGCCTTGGAAATCTGATGGGGTAGCTCTACTCTGTCATAGAGGGTTTCTCTGAGTCGGATTCAACTTGCTGGTGATAGCTTCGGCCATGTAAAGAAACCCATCAGTAATCTTGTTCTGGAAATGAAGCCTCAGTGCATACTGAGTGAAAGAGCAACTACTGTTTATATTTTTAACAACCACTACATTGGAGATAATATAAATTCTAGTAAATGCAAATCTGATGATAAACTTGAAGTGAAACTTCACTCTTTCTGTGATGTAGCATCATAGTTAAAATGAGTTGAGCTTGGTGGAAACAACTCAAGTGTCCACCAGCAGATGAATGGGTGAGCAAAATGTGGTATATCAGCCATAAAAAGAAATGAAATTTTGATACATGGATGCATCTTGAAAACATTATGTTGAATAAAATAAGTCAGACATAAAAGGGCAAATACCGTACAAGCTCACTTAGATGACATATCTGGAATAGGCAAATGCATAGAGTCAAATGTCTGTTAGGGGTTTCTGGGGGCAAGGACAGGAAAGAATGGGAGTATTACTTAAGGGGTACTCACTTTCTGTTTGAAGTGATGAGAAACTTTTGATAACATGATGAATGTAATTAATGCCACTGAATTATATGCTTTAAAATGGTCATAATGTCATACTGTTTGTTATATATGAACATTTCTTCACAATGCATTTAAAAAATGCTTTGAATCCTTCTACGGATTCAGGTTGTCCTAAGGGTCATGTGTGGTCTTACACAATCTTTAAAACAATCCTGGAACAAATATTATTATTAGGTAATATTACAGGTAAGGAACGTCAAGCCCATAGTTGCCCAAGTAGATAGTAAGCCAGAGAAATGGAATTCAAACCAATCTCCAGTGGTTGTGAGAGCTCTTCTACTCACTACTCAGACTGGTGATATGGAGAGTCAGCAGACTGTGTCCCTACCACTACTAGGTGCTACAAAGGAAGTGTAAAATGTGGTCCCGCCCTCAAGAAAATTACAGTCTATTTAGAGAGACCAAACTTACCCACGTGAAACAATTAGAGAACAAGAGCAGACAATATAATCAAGCACCAGATAGGAGCATCTAGGAAGTGATCAAGTAATTACACTTTTAGTCAAAAGAGCTGTATGTAATAATAATAAATATAAAAGTACTTCTCTGAGGTTGTTCTTTTGCTATTTGGGTAAAATTGCGTTATGAGCCATTGGAAGGCGTCGAGTAGAAAGCACAGCTAATTCAAGTAACTATATTTAACATACATGACAACTATCCAGATCTGGGCAGGGAGGATCGCATAAATCTAACATTATGCCACACAAATTATACGTTCCTTTGCCAAACTCTCCTACCAAGTTTTACAGTCTCTTCTCTTGCCACAGATATTTATAAAAATATAAGGCGGTGAAAGTTAAAACCCACAGCATCAAGGAAATTACTTGGATACTGAGCTTGTCGCCTAGGGAATGTTTGGGCTTTAGACTTTTGCAGTTTATATCTTTTAAAAATAAATGGAGGGGAAAAGAACCCTCATTTGAATTTGTCAGGAAGCCAGCTCTTCTCGTTAGTACACTCTCAGCATACTGAAACACCCAGCTCAGCTCTGGCCTGATCACATTTCACAAGGTTTGAAGGAAGAGAAGACTCTAGAGTTTTATTTAAAAAAAAAAAAAAATCTGTATCAACATAGTACACATTCTCATTCTCCCTCCATCCACCACACACACAACTATACACATCAGGCTCAGGGCAGATTTTGCATCATGTCCATCATTATAAATCTGTTACATGTAAAGAAAGAAAAGAACCACTCCGTTATGGGCCAAGAAGCAAAGAAAGAAATTTGAAATATTTTGAAGTAATAAGAGCCACAAACAGCTGTTTGGAACCCAATATAGTTCTGCCTTGGATAACAGGGCATACTATTGCAACTGGTTCAGGAGGGAAGAGTTGTAGGGAAATGGGTTAAGAGAAAATGTGGTTCTGTCGCTGTTTTTCATTCTACTGGAGAGCAATGGCTAGTAAGGTTCAAAAAAGAAGTTGGACACCAAATGAGAGGGTGGGATCAAATCCACTTGGCCTGTTTATAGCGATATCACTTAGCATTGCAGTCAGGTTGCCTTTGAAAATGTCCCATGAAAGGCACTGTTAGGTTTTTCTAACATGACTAGCTGGTTACCATGCCTTTTCCTCTTTTCACAGATCAACTCTCAGAAAGACCATGTGGACGTTCCTCTTCTCTTAGTGCTGCTAATAGTTCTCAGACAAACCCACAGGGAGCAGTTTCTAGCACATCTCCGAGGCTGCAAAGGCAGTCCAAAGCAGTGGTAAGTAGAGTCCCCAGTTCTCCTATTGTGTTTTAAAATTCTGGAAAAAATAGACCAGTATCCCCGTTGTATCTCCATATGGAGTAAGATAGTCCTCCTGTTTGTTTTGGGTGTCACTGAGAAAACTAATATTAAACATAGCACCACTTCTGGATGGTCTGATCAGAACAAATCAAAGGCATGTAAGGGTGAGGTGGGATAAGAGTCAGAAGATGAGGTTGAAGCCTCAGCTCTGTCCTTTACTAGAATTGTTGTTGTTGATAAGAGCTGTCGAGTCGATTCTGACTTATAGCGACCCTATATAGTGTTTCCAAGGAGCAGCTGGTGGGTTTGAACTGCTGATCTTGAGGTTAGCAGTCCAGAGTTGATCCTACTGCACCACACCGGTACTCCTAAAATTGAGCAAACCATTTAAGAGAAAATGCTGTGCAAATGTAAGCATCTTTATGACTGCTTCCTGATGGCAGTTTGCTGTTATTTATGATATCCTTGGGTTCATTAAAGAGTCTCTGGATGGTGCAAATAGTTAACATACTGGGATGCTAACTTAAAAGTTGGAGGTTCAAGTCCACTTGAGGTGCCTTGGAAGAAAGGCTTGGTGATCTACTTCTGAGAAATCATCCATTGAAAACTCTACGGAGCAGAGTTCTACTCTGACACCTATGGAGTCATTACGAGTCAGAACTGACTTGATAGCAACTGATTTGATGCTTTTGTGGATGTTTTTTGGAAGGGAAATTAAGTAGTGTCTGCCACATCAGAGATCAACATTGTTATCTTTATTTTTCTCATTGGATTCCTATTGAGCAAGACCTGATTTTAAATGGCAGCCTTTGATGAGCTCCTATATTGGGACTGTTCATTTGGTCTTATTAGGAGCTTTTACTAGGGAGCAAATACCCCATTCACTACTGTTTGGATGAGACCTATATTCCTTGTCAGAAGGTACCCACTTGCTGTAAGCCACCATGAGCTATTCCAAATCACTTAGATGGGTGAGTTTGCAGATCCCTCGGAGAAGCTGATGAACACTACGCCCTTTGAAGTCTTTCAAAGTGTATGCAAAATCTTATGTGTTTGTCTTCATGGCCATTGTTATGGGCAAAGATCCTTTGAACTCAGCTTTTCAAAGGGGTCTGTGACCCTCAAAATGTTAAGCCCATTTCTTGGATGTCAGGTTAAGGACTCTTAACTTAGGTAACAGATATATTTGATCTTTATTTGACCTTTGTGTATGAATTGTTGTTGTTGTTAAGTGCTGTTGAATCGATTCTGAGCCATAGCAACCCTGTATGGTGTTTCTAAGGAGCAGCTGGTGAGCTTGAACCGGCAACCTTGTGGGGGTCAAACCGACTTTGCAGTCCAGTGCAAGTCCACAGTGCCACACCAGGCCCAAATTGAAATTGGGCAATGGGAGGAAAATTTTATGAGAATAGATTACTCCCTAATCTTGGTCATATGAACATGTTTGTATGTGTCGGGAAGACTATTTTATCACTCTAATTTGTTTCCTGGCTCAAATAAATAGGTATTTTTAGATAATTATTGGGGGAAGGGAGACAGAAATGAAAGCTATGACCCCTTTCAAAATACACATCCTCCAAATTTGGTGTGTGTGTGTGTGTGTGCGTGTGTTTGGGGGAAGGGAGACAGAAATGAAAGCTATGACCCCTTTCAAAATACACATCCTCCAAATTTGCATCCAGTTTCACCCTGATATTCACTAATGGACCCCTAAACGAACACAATTCAGGGCTGAGTTGGAGTGGACTTCCTGACTACCTCACCCTATGTGCCCGAATTCAAATAGTTTCTCCGCCCCCCTCATTTAGGTGAGTGCTTAATCCAATGTGTCTTTTGTTTCCTCAGGAGATGACGGAAAATGGAAGCCATCAGTTGATAGTAAAGGCAAAATTCAACTTTAAGCAGACTAATGAAGATGAACTGTCAGTCTGTAAAGGGGACATCATTTACGTCACTCGAGTTGAAGAAGGTGGCTGGTGGGAAGGCACATTAAATGGGAGAACAGGCTGGTTCCCGAGTAATTATGTCCGAGAAATTAAATCCAGTGGTAAGTGAAGCTTTTTAAAGTCTTTTTGACTATGACTCTTGGACTTTCTTAGTCTTCTTAAATGAAAATCTTGTGGTTTTAATTGATTAACAGAAACGGTTTGTACTTGTTGTACGTATGTCATAAACATAACTTGGAAAAATCTGTCATTAGATATTTTGAAGCAAAGTTCCTTTTAGGCTACATCAAGGCTGCAAGAAACTAAAGCAAAAACTTAAAAAAGCAAAGGAATTCCAAGCTGAGACAACTGCTCCACCTTAACTGTCCCTTTATGTGTACTAATTCTAGCCTATGTAATACGGTCCTTCCTGCTACTGGAGAATCACCATGGCTGCATACAATAACAGAGAGGCCTTGTGTTAACTTCCCTTTCTTTCTTTCTTTTTTTAAAATCTCTAAGTTCTTTAAGCAGATCTAAAACTAAATGCCTCCGAGATGTGTCTGGACACTTTGAATCGGAACAAGATCACCCTTAACCCTACCCAACACTTGCTGCTTACCCTTTTTTTGTTATAAACACCAGAGAATAAAATCCAATCCCCTCTTTATAGACATTCTTAAAGCTATGTGAGATAACTTTCTTGCCTTTTATTACTCAAGAAGGTAGGCCCTGCTTATATTAAAACCCCCCAACAGATACATGCAAATATATATTTACAGTACAAATAAAACAGGATTCAGGTTTTCAAATTATTAAATTTCTTCACTTTTTAAATATATTCACTCAGGGATTTCTTTATGCGGTTAGTTCCCTAGAGCATTTTTCTTTTGCATAATTTGTTAATTAATTTATTTATTATTATTTGGAATAATAAGTTTCCATTTCTTAGAAACCCTATACAGAGTCGCTATGAGTCAGAACCAACTTGACAACACTTAACAACAATAACAAAATTTTTTAAGTTATAGTTAATTAGTTGATTAAACTATTAATGAGTTGAATTCTGGTTTTAATGTAATAATTTACTGAATTTAAGTTAGAAATTTGATATCTAGTGTATTTATATAAGTTATCATTAGTTGTTAATGAAAATTTATTTAGGGGCTCACTATTAAAAATATTACAGAAATATATATAATGTAGACACTAAAAGTTCCTCTTCCCTTCCTGCTCCTTAAGATCAACACTCTTAGGATATTTGCTCTAAGGGATTGAAGATAAAATATGGTTCGCACACTTTCCTGTGTTGTGTATTAAGGAAGGCATCACCTTTAATGACATTTGCTAGCTGATTTATAATTTATATATGTATGCATAGACTTATTCTTTTTTCATTTCTGACAATGGAGAAGTTTCTCTTGAGCCCTGAAGTATTTTCGCAGGCTTTACATGGAATTTCCTTGGTCTGCATGCCTTTCACAGCCAGTTTGTACTCCCTGATGCATCTTTCAATTGGTACAATCTAGTTGTCAGTCTCTCTGCACAAGTTTTCCACGTTCATTCTGCGTTTCTTGGTTTAGTGTTTCCATCTTCAGAAGTAAAGGGATAGCAATTGCTGTCTTGTTTGGAAATCAGTGAGGGGTAGTGGAAAGTGGACAGTACACCCTCACTTGGGTGGTCCTCATTATGATGCTCATTGTGACGCCTTTTAGCATAGTCTGGCCACCCCCTTGGGGGCAACCATGGGTGTTCATCCTGGTCTTCAGGCCCCTCCTTTCAAGTTTTTACTATAGTCTGTGTTTTAGAATTCCATTTTGGACTCACAGCAAACTCTGGCTCTGATTTGAACACTTATGGAATCTTTACAAGGGTAGGTCTGGGTAGCTGGGACCAGGAAGCCTGCTAGTCAGGGAAGACCTGGACCTAGGTGTATGGGGAAGACCATCCCTTAGGCTATTGCAGTAATTTCCTACCTGGAACCTCTGCTCTTGTCTTCATTATTCATACAATCTAATCTAAGTCGTGGTGTGGTGCTGCAGGTTAATGCACTGAACTGCAAGGTCAGACATAAGGTCAGTGGTTCAAACCCACCTGCTGCTCCTTGGAAACCCTAGACAGGGTTAGTATGAGTTGGAACTGATTCGACAGCACTTAACAACAACAGTCTAAGTTCAGTGGCTGGTGATGGCTGTGTGCCGTGGAGTCGGTTCCAACTCATAGCGACCCTGTACAGGGTTTCCGAGGCTGTAAATCATTACGAGAGCAGAACGTCTCATTTTTCTCCCACGGAACAGCTGGTAGTTTCAAACTGCTGACCTTGCGGTTTGCAGCCCACTTCGTAACCGCTACACTACTAGAGCTCCTTAAGTTCAATAGACAGAGTGATATTTTTTTCAAAACGTGGGCCATGGCTTCACATCTCCAAAAAGAGTAAAGGTCAAGGTGACCCTAATAGCCTACAAGGCTTTTTAGGACCTGACCTTCAGTTGCCTTTCTGACCTCTCCGCCTCTCACTCACTCCACTTTAGTTGTATTGACATCTTAGCTGCTGTACCAGACTTAGCTTGCTGTCCTTCTGCTGAGAACACTCTTCCTCTGATGAACAAGGCCAATTTCCTTATCCTCCTTCAATCTTTGTTCATGTGGTACCACTTAGTGTTTGTTCTTTTCTTACTTTCCCCATCCCCCTTCTCTGCTTTATTTTTCTATTTAGCATTTATCTCTATATAGTCCTGGTGGTGCTGAGAGTTAGGCTGTTAACCTCAAGGTCAGTGATCCAAACCTATCAGCTGCTCCACAGGAGAAAGATTAGAATGTGTGCTCCCCTAGGTTTAAGTCTATATGTTGCTATGGTTGGAATCAATTTGATATGGCAGTGATATTACTTTGTTTTGTGTTTTCAACTTTGTTGTTGTTGTTGTTAAGAGTCGGTTTCACCTCATAACGACCCTGTATAGGGTTTCTAAGGAGCAGCTGGTGAGTTTGAACTGCCGACCTTGTAGTTCAAACAGATCTTGCTGTCCAGTGCTCTAACCTACAGTGCCACACCAGGAATAGAGTGTGATTAATTTAATGATAGCGCTAAGGACAACGTGTTATGGGAGTAGAGAGCAGAAGAGGGTATCTAATACAGTTTGACAGTAAGGCTTATCAAGCTTTGTATACCTTTCTGTTTCTATAATGGCTGAGACATTGTTTTAGACATAGGAAATGTTCCATATGTGCTGAATTCCATTTATAGAGAAGATATAAAGGAGAGGAAGCTGTAGATGTGTGTGTGTGTGTGTGTGTGTGTGCGTGTGTGTTGGGCACCATTGGCACTGAAGATGTTGTGTTATTTTATACGTGGTTTGTCAGCAGGCAGTTGGTGGTATAGATCTGGAGCACAGGAGAGAGATAAGAGCTGGAGGTGAAACAGATAACTAATAGTATAAGGAGGTGGGGGGTGAAGAGTATATATGTATATATATATATATGTTGAATCAGTCATCAGTACGCCAAGAAAGAGAACACATGAATGCATTGTGGCTGGACAGGTTGGAGGAGGCTATATAGAGAAGGGAGGGCTTGAGATGGACCCTGAAAGACACAGACTGTGTCTAGACCCAAAAGAGAGGGGAGCAAAATCTAAGTAGGAGGAAGAAGAGCCATGGAGGTTTTGTTGAAATACTACGAGTAAGTGAGCTAAGGGAACACTGGGCGAGCTTAACTAAGAAAGTAGATGCTCAAGAAATCTTTGTTGATGTTAATTCTTTCCCACCTGCTGCCATGGTGAGTTAGCCAAAACCTTTGTAGGATGTTGCCAAGGAACATTATAGATTCTGTGTTGTTTCACATTTGGTCTGGGAAATATATGCTTGTCCATTTGTAATTACTCTCCAAGAAGTCCATAATGAGGTATATATTTCATAAAGATTTATCTTTAAAGAGTCTTATAAAAATGATTCTTTGCTGAAACACATATTTCATAGAAACCCCACTGTACTATCAACAATCTCTTTGGTCATTTATGAAGTTGAATCAGGCATGGAACTTGGAGAACTTCTGTGCTCTCCATTGCCTTACTGTTGGGCCCAATGTGCAGCACTGTGTGGTCACTCTAATAGCCAGTTGTTGTTCCAACTCATGGCGACCTTATGTTGCTTGGTCCTGTGCCATCTTTATGTTAGAATCCATTGTTGTGGCTATTGTGTCAATGTGTCTCATTAATGGTTTCCTCAACAAATTTCATACCAAAAATGCATGCTTCTGCATTGTCTTCCAAACAAAAAACAAGCAACCCCAGCCCCATAAAGCTCACCCTGCAGATGGCTGTGCCATTAGAGTGCTGTGCAAGGCTGTCCTCCCCTGCGCCTGTCACTGAAAAGAGTACTTCGTGTTTGGTAAGTTTTCCCTTGGTGAATGGCATTTTAAGTTTAAGATTCCACTGGTGCTTATGGCTAGAGATTATAGCCAAAGCCCTAGGGACAGCTTCTTCCTTCTATTTGGGAAAAGACTGGTTTCAGAGGAAACACATCATAAAGAACCAATAACCTGCTAATACTATAGAAAGTTTAAAATAGAATATTTAGATTTAAAACACACACACATACACACATACATGATTCTCCTTTCAGTGTGAATGAGGTGCTGATGGTCTAGTAGGTCTTTGTGACCATGATGGTAGCAGCTTCTTACCTGGATACTGATGACTTACTTACCTGGATAATCATGACACCATTGCTACTGGTTCTGCTTGCCTACCTCTGGATTTATTGTTGGATGAGAAACATGGCCCCTATTTTAAGCCAAAGATATATTTTCTTCAAATACCTTCATGAAAAATCTAGTATAAACAATTTAATCATTACATAAACTACAGAAGATAGGGCACTATCTCTTTTATTTCATCTGTATCAGATGCATTATAAATAAGAAAATGAGCCAAGTCCTTAAAATTCAGTGATAACCTATAAATGAATATATTACTTATACATCAAAATAATTTCTGCCAACACTGCAGTAACATTGTAAATGGATTCACTTGCTTTTTCCATTTCTGCTGTTTGTTACTAACAAAAGCTAAGGGTCTTCTTAGGGCTTTGCATAAAATTTTTTTTTGGCACAATTTCCACTTTGA